CACGATCTCGGTACCGGGGAAAACACCCCATGTAACGGCTGTGACGCTGTGCAACGGCGTGTTGCGATGCTCATCACCCTGACGATTGAGGGCGTGGAACGATAGCTGTGGGTAGTCGCGTTGCATGACATTGACAAGGTGTGCCATCTTTTCGGGGGCTACAAAAAACTCCACGTACGCTTTTTGAAACACTACACCATCATTTCCACCCCATCCAACGGATTGATCACTCGACAGCGCACCGTTCACACGAGGCTGGCTATTTATTGTTAGAAAACCCTTGGAGTTGAGCCACCGCAGATTTTCACGAATTGCTGTACTTTCAAGGGATAAGGCCTGCTCGCACCACGGAAGCTGCTTTACGTGGCCTTCAATAAAGCGGACAAACACGTTCCACACATCCTCAACAGTCTGTGGGGTACCCCATAGCTCTGTACGCTGGACCTTTGGTCGTTTGAATGCGAGATAATATTCAGATAGCTCTCCATAAGCAGGACTCGTGCGGTCTCCCCACCGTCCGTTTGGAAATTCATCCCATGCAGCAGTCCGTGCAATGTAACTAGCTTGACGGTTTGACCAGAAGATGGGACGTACTTGTTCGTGCTCAACAGTGGAACGCTGCAGTGTTGACTGCCACGGTAAATCGCGCTGGTTGCGTGCAGGCAGCAACTGCAATCCTTCCAGCACTTGCGTCACTGTTGCAGCCAAATTCATGGTATAAAAATGCAGCGAATTCACGCCAGCAACCAGCAGACGTTGACAGGTCTCCACCGCGAGCTGGGTGCCATATCGACGTACAGCCGCGTCATCATTCTTGATTGCATCCAGGGCTGTTAGCACATTGTCCGGTACTTGTGTCTTGCACCACTTTGTGAACTTGCAGAACGAACTGTAATTTTGAATAGGCAAATATCCGGGCAAAATGGGGATAGTAATTCCAGCGTTCTTGCAGTCAGCGATCCACTGAATCATGTTGTCAACGTCAAAAAAGAACTGAGTGATGATAAATTCAGCACCTGCTTCTTGCTTGGCTTTTAAACGCTGAAGATCCAGGGCGCGCGCCTCGTTCGATGGTGGCAGGTCTGGATGGTTCCAAGATTCCGTATGCACCTCCGCGTAACCCGCACAGGCGATGCAAAAGTAGTCTCCGTGCTCTTTTCGAATAAGCTTAATAAGGTCAATTGCATTACTAAGTCCTCCCTCTATTGGGGTCCAGCGCTCAGCTCCAATGGGCGGATCACCTCGCAATGCCAGAATGTTGCGGATACCGGCAGCGCGTGCATTCTTCAAGATACACTTAAGTTTCTCTGTAGGCAGGTGGCAAGTCAAATGTAGCAACACGTCAATTTGGAAATTGTTCTGAATATGGGCACCGATACGCAGCCAAAGCGCCTCATCCTTAAATGCCGAGCGCCACGTGATCGTCACGAATGTCGGCTGCAATGCTAACCCCATCTCTTCCACGCGTGTTAGCAAGTTAAACACACCAGCATTCGTTTTGGCGGGAAAGAATTCAAACGAAATTGTTGGACGCGTCGACGTATCATCCGCACGCGCCGCGTACGCGTTGCGAATTGACTCGATGATCTTACCCATTTGCTGACTGGTGTTGAGAATGCAAAATCAAACTGATGTGTGATACACTATCTCTGCTCAGATGCCTGCATCACGTACTTCTTCTATTCATCGGCGAATATGGCAATGAGCTTGTTTTGATAACCTGAGTATTCTCATAGGATATGGATCGGAGCTGGTTGGTTCCCATTAAAGTTACAATAGTGACTTGTATCCAAGACAAAGGCAAAGGAGAAAATTGTGATAGTAAAGCAAATGGCGATTGAGATGAGTGTAAGAAGAAGTGTGCAATTTTCTATATGCGACAGGAATGTTGCTAGTCAATATGCTCAACAACGGATAGACTTCACTGATAAAGTGGCCCCTTTGCTGATAGAGAAAATTGCATTTTGCATAGGACATGGGATGGAACGTATCTTCGTATAAATTCGCTATTCATAACTCGAAGTCAAACATTTTTACCATGATACGTTCATCACATTCGTTATTTGCAACACCTCGGCTATCAACACTTATACATGGTGCCAGTTTCTTAGTCAGTCGTGCACCACCGCCGAAAAGATCTGCGCGTTCACCCCTTCCTTAAATGTCACTAGGTTTGATTCAACAGCATACACACACACATACACAAGCAGAAGACCCACACCATTGTACTGACATTTCTCAAAGCACAGAACACGAGCGGCAACTCGCATAGAGTCTCACAATATTATTCCCTATCAATGAGAATTGTGCCTTCTTTGATTTGATACTATCACACTGATTTATTCCAGGATCAACATGCCACAGCTCGGTTAAGAAATTCTTAAACGTGCGCGCCAGTATCTGGCCGTAGTTTCTCCAGATCTGTTGCCCATTGGTGAAAAACAGATTCAGGCAGCTGTAGGACCGCGTTCCCGGACACTGCGACGGCCGTTCTTTCTAGATGCACAGTCGCCACCTGCTGCTGGTGAAAATCCTCCATCGATGAGAAGGCAAACGCTTTCTCACCTTCAAGCTCACGCGCGTCTTTCATACTTTTACGCATCTCGTGATTTTTTCTGATAGAACTCGCAGCTGCATGCAAGTTTTTGGTCATAATTGCAAATTCTTCGTCGGAATCCGACGTAGCAGTTTCAAATCGATATGTCTTGCTTTTAAATAATTGTTGCGCCTTCGTCGGAGCGCTTACTACTTCGTCATGTATTGCTGTTTCCACGGCTTTCCGTGATGTGGAGATCTCACGCGGTATGCTGTTTCCAAAACTATCAAGTTCCTCTTCATATTCGTCTTGGTCGTCATCTTCGTCACTCTCAAGACTAGGCAGATTCATTCGTTGTGAGCGCTCCTGATGCTCGGTTTCGCAAGCAGACAAGTACGCTTCCTATCGCAACAAGCCCACAAGCAAAGATACTTTACTCAGCACAGCTTTGATAAAAAAATATAGCAAACAACTTCGTACCTGAGCCTCTATGACCGCTGCACTATTTTCACAAGATGAATAAGCATCAAGGCAGTCTGCATTGATTTTTAGAAATTCGGCTCCCCACGAGAATTCGTCCATGAGCTGGATGGCCTCCTCTTTAAACCCAACGATGTAGAGCGTGGCCGCAATTGCTTCAGCACACGAAAGCTTGTGCGGTCTACCATAGTTTACCGAGTTTGCTGCTACAAGAAAAGGTAGGAGGCGATGTACACCTGAGCGCAGCTGCTTGTACGGCAGCTCTTGTACTTTTGCCCAGCTGCAATCAATTACCGAAATTCCTGAACTTTCCACAATGGATCTATCTGCTGGTGATACTATATTTTCGCCTGCCGGGGAAAGCACGAGTCCGCGGAAATGTGCACCAGGCTTCATACTCTTGATGTAGCCCAAACGGCAGAGCTTACGTCCTGTACAACGCTTTGCGTCGCACTGCTGAAAATCCCACATTCGCAACGTGACAGGAAAGGCGCGGCGACGGTAGGTGGTTTCACTTTCTTCCTCTCCACGAACTATGCAATATTCAGCACCATGGCCGCGGTTACGAGTCTTGCGCGACGATGCGCCTTGGTCCACTCGCTTTTTGCCCATTATTACTAATATGAAGGTAGAAGAAATTTATAATAAATTGAATTTTCTATAAACACGTAATTGAGTCGTTCAGTTATGACATTTATTTTCAAAAAACGAAGATACCAAAGTATACCGGATGGAAATCCATTACCTGTCCTGGGGATGATCAGACACTCTGTTGCCGTGCACTGTAAATAGAGAAAGTTTGAAAGTCCGCCTTATAAGCGCACAGAGGCTGGGTTCGTTCGCTACAAGGAATCGCGCATGTTTGGTTACGTCGCACTGTTATTTCT